CTGCCAAATTTACTATAAAGTTTTAGATGATTGTAATCGAATGCATAATAAGGTCTCCTAAGAGCCTGCATTTAGATGCTTTTTAACAGTAAAAACCTGTGGGGAAAGCAAGTTCCCTCTAATGTTATTGTACAGAGAAAGCACATTACAGACAGAAAAAGGAAAAGTAGCCTTTTCTATTAATGATCTATCATTCTATTGTAGTTTCTTTGAGTGAATTATTTTCTTTGCCGAATAAGGCCAACTAAAAAGAGCGTGATCCGAAAAAGGGAATTGGCTAAAATACCTCCATCTTCTCCAAAAGTTCTTTGGCTGTTGGAGCAGAGACAATTATATGCCTAGCACCTGGCTTGATGAAGCCCTCTTCTACGCCGTTGTCGAATAAAGCGAGCAAATTATTGTAGTAACCATCAACATTAAGCAAACCAACCTGCAATAAGATTAATGCACACCGCAAGGTTAATGACCATTCACATAGCTAGCATAATTCTTCAAGCTTGATGGATGATGCCTTACTGTTTTCTCGTGTATTCCAAGTTGGGACCATGTTATCATCTCCAGCAACTCTTCCATTGTTCCATATCCACCTAAAACATCAAATGTTTCTTTTAACCTTTCACCAAAATTTCCCCTTCTGTTCTTTAGTAATGATAAAAAAGGTCAAGGTGTATTTTTACCAGGAAGAGCAATAAAGCCATCGGCTTCTCGGGCCATTTCAGCCTTGCGTTCATGCATGTCTAAAACAGTTCTTACTTCTCCAACTGTTTCTCCTGATATCTGTCAATATTATCCACGATTACGCACGAATGATCATCAGCCAACTATTATCCAGGATTATGCACTAATGAACACTATCATCCGAGTTTTTCCAGGAAATCCTTTTACCAAATACAATGATTAGAGATGTACCGAATACAGTGAGTTGAACGATAAAAAATAGATAAAACCTTCAACTAAAAACCTTCAAGAAAGACCAATTGAAATTATTTAAACAGGTCACCTGGACCCAGTATTCGGATAACAATTGTTAATATAAGGTTGCAACTTGCAAGTAAAGATACCTCAAGAGGCATGAGCGCTTTTGGGATTATCCTGCATGTAAGAAACAAGTATTTACTTAGCAATAAACAAATTGCAAACAAGGAGGAAGCTGCTGGTGCTGCAACTTGTAACAGTTTCTGCAGAGAAAAAAATATTGAAAATAGGCTATTGGAAAAATCCAAAACGGGGCAAGTTGCTCACTTACCCAAGAACACGACACCCTCCATCATACACAGTCTGGGATATCAAACCCATCAACCCAACACTTCCCCCACCATACACCAAGTCTATCTTCCTCTTTACCTGCAAATCAACACCAAACATAAGCAAAAAACACGAGCCAAATTATTAATAAAGGCAAACAATTTAGACATGGTAGACTTCGATGTCAAGCTAATGAAAAACTAGAAAAAAAATTTTGTCAAACACCTAATATTTCAACTCACGGATATTATTCAAGTATGGTCAAAAAGAAGCAATACACATTCAGCAGAAAAAAGAAACACTTTGTTGATGGTCAACAGAGTAGTGACTGATACACCAAACAGAAACAACTCCAATTCAGTACATGAAACACCAACAACTCCGCCATCAAAGAATCACAAAAAAGTAATAAAAGTCAGAAAAAAATCTCATCTTTCTCACTATAAACTAGCACACAATTCAAAAAAATAGTGAAGCAAAAAAGTAATAAAAGATGAGGGAAAAAAGGCACTTTTTCTTTTTTGTTTCAGAATGATGTGTATTGATATACTACTGAAGCAAAAGGGAGGTGGGGGGGGAAGCAAACCAATTCATTGCCCAACTCAAGAGCAGCCTCGCTGAAGATTTTTCTATGGCCAGAGTTGCTTCCACAGAAAACACATAATCTTTTGAACTTGCTTGTGGCTTTCCCTTCTTCCATTAACAATATACCTCTCTAACTGTCTCTCTGTATATCAGTTTTATGTTTTTATTCCACTCTCAAATCATTAACTAAGAAAAACAAAAAGCAATAGCCTTGTTCCCTTTGAGAGAAAAAAATTGTCCCACAATGAAAACTTTCTGAAAAGAAATACAAGAACCAATCAAATATATATATATATATGCAAAAGCTAACAAGAAATCCCAAAAATCACTTCTTTCAAAAGCAAAGCAATCTGGGTTGATCTTGAATCGGTAAATTAATAAGAAAAAGGCATATTAAAAATGGAAGGAAATCGGAACAGAGCTTTTTTATATTAGAGAAGAGACCACGAGGAAAGCCCACACATGCTTCCAAGGCCTTTCTAATCCAACGTCTCTTGTCGGCTTCAATATCTCATTATGAGATTTATTGATATAATAATAATTAGAGTATTCTATAATAATTGCACAAAGTTTACTTGCAAAGCAGTGCTTCTTTTCTCAAAGTCGAAGCACAAATCCAAATCAGAGTTCTATTCATAAAAGCTAGCGATTGAACCTGAGAAATATGGAGTAAAGGGCCTCGCTTTCACCACCAAGACTTAAAAAGCTATTGACTTGGATCAAATAACAATTTTATTTTAAAATATAGTTAGTGGATTCAATTTTCTTTAATTTTCGTTAAGGAGACAATTGCATAAATTCATTGTACATCAGGTAATTATTTATTGAAATATTAATGTATCAAGATTTGATTTTTGAGGTAGAATAAATTTTAAAACTTTTATTTTGATTTTCATAGTAAATTTGTTTTTAATTGGATTCTAATTATTTTTCCATTACTAGGTAAGACTCTACCCTGAGTTCCCTCTAAATTTGGTAAAATATTAAACCAATAGTGTAGCGACAATGATTGCAATTAAATAAAATTGGATAAACTATATTTTTAGTTACTAATTTATTGTCTTTTTTCTAGTTTTGTCACAAAATTATTCTTTTGACAAAAGTATCATTAGCATTAGATTGTAAAAATCTTATTTCAAATCTAACACTCTTGTCAGACGAGACACTAAATCCTTTAAATAAGGTCAAGGGTTCGAATCTTAGTGTTTGCGAATGAAGCAATCTGGGTTAGAAGGGTCGCATTCGCCTCTGTAGTACCCTATCTGGATTAATCGACCAGTGATTAATTCAAAAAAAAAATCTAATACTCGTGTCAAAAAAATCTAATATTTTTTTATAATCACCCGTATAATTATTGCATTTTTAATCCCACTAGTAAAAGAATCTAATGTTTAGCCATTGAACCAAATAATATAATTATTATTTTTTTAATCAAACTAATTTTTATCTTAAACTATAATTCCACTAGAGCCATGACTCATCCATCCAAGTTCCAAATTTACAAATTGGAGTTTTTAACATCAAACACCCACAAAAAATGGAAACAGAATTGGACATAAAACCAACTAACGTTTCTTAAACTTGCCAAATTTGTCTTCTTCGAGATTAACTACCATTCCTTCTCCTTGCAGCAAGCATGGGGATGACTGCAACAATGGCGATGTTCACTGCCCTCTGCGGGTTTCGAAGGAAACGGTCACCAGCTTTATCGGCCCCTGTTTCGACCGAGAAATCAGACGCACAAACAGAACAGGAAAAACCAGAACAAACCACAATTATTACAACATCAACGACGACAAAAACAGCAGCGTTCGAAACAGGGCAAGTGACGATCAAAGAATTGCCTCTTCCACCAGGGTTGACAAAATCTCGCTCGAGCAACGTTTTCACCATTAAATCCGAGTCCGCACGAAAAGTAAGCACAACCCTGACGGTGAAGCACATTAAAAGCATATCGGTGAAACTCCGGGATCGAAAGAATCGATCGAAAGACGAGGATACGATCTGGAAAAAGACGATCATATTAGGGGGGAAATGCAAAATATCAGACGATGTGGATGACGCTGTTATATTTACCGGGAAGAAAGATACGGTATTAGCGTACCATCCTAGGACACTGAGTAGCATATCAGTTTCTAGAACCTGTTTAAAGAACAAGATAGGACAGTTTCTAGAAGGAATTCCTTCAAAGAACAAGACAGTTCCTGGAAAGGGATGACCCAACTAGTTCAATCGGTATCCGGCCGCCGTAGATACCTAAACAAAAATAATTTTAGTTTATGTCTTTTCAGTTACGTCGTGACATATAATAATAACCAGGGCCACGGCAATGTGACGAAGTTGTAGTGTAATGGTTAATGATTCTTTCCTTTTTAAATAAAATTTTGTTTCACTATAAAATTTTATATTCTATTTCGGTTAGTTACTTATTTTATATTCTTGAATTCCTTGTCTAGCTCTTCAACGATTTCGGGTTACTTCGTTGCAGCAGAAACACGGTTGGCCATGGTTGTTTATAAGGCACTGATAAACAGACAACAAATGCCCACCTGTTGGATGGAACAAGGTGAAGGGACCATTGTCTAGATTCAGAAAATGTACAGTGTTTATATTCAGGTAAGAATAAGACAATAGAGCAGAAGTAATTGCTTCATCAACCTTTTTAAGCTCCCCGGAATGTAGGTTATTTAAGTCAAGTTGGATTCAAAATGCCATTTAAATCCATAAGACAGACTTTTGACCCTCTCACCACTGTAAAAGAGGATGAAATTGGTGTGAAAATTATCAGTTAAACTGGAATTGGTTGTAAGAAAAAATGGGCTCGTAGCTGTTGCTCCATGGTTATCCAAAAACCATTGATTTGAGAGAAGAGAAAACAAATAGGTCAATTACATCAAAGTCATTAAAAAGTCAGAAACTTATCACAACTTGAATTTCATTGCTGAAAACGATGTTTCATCAACAACAGTACAATTATTAAAAGTAAAGAGCCCCCACAGCCAACAACTTTGTCAGACCACAGTGTCTACGACCATGTCTTTGTAGTAAAAGAACCAATCTCCTTGGCTGATAGTCTCATACTAGTATAATTTTATTAGTATCTTCTTTGTTTCTCTTATATTTCTTCCATTTAATACATATTTCCTACAACTGCTGCACTGGCAGCAGCTTTGATTTTTCAAACTGCCACCCAATTGCCTGATTTAACAAGTTGCAGAAGACTTTGCAGTTGGACTTGGGAGTCAATAGACTTATCTTTGGGTCATTATAAATTAGAGAAAAGAAGTTTTGTGGTTGTTGGACTGCTTGTTTTTCTCGCCTGTTGTTGAGGTTGTTGATCTCATTTTTGTGGTGGTTTTCTCTTCTCTCCCCCACCCCCCGCCCCCCTCCTCCTCTCATTCTTCTTCCCCTATGAAGTTCATTAAAGAACCAAAGCTTGAAGCCTCCGTTTCCTTCAAACATTTAGCACTTGACCAAGGGAATGTAAATTCAGTTGTCTCAAATGATAAAGCGAATGGAATCGTTATAGCAGTAAAGCCCACCATAATGCTTCCTAAACCAGAGATAATGTTTTCTCCAAGGCCCCAAAGTGAGCTCGATGCTGCTTCAACTAAGCTACAAAAAGTCTACAGAGGTCATAGGACAAGGAGGAACCTTGCAGATTGTGCCGTTGTGGTTGAGGAGCTCTGGTTCGTCACTTTGTCTCCATATAATATGAATTTACTGTTCTCTTTTTGAGCAATTTCTTTGGTTCTTATATTAATTCAAACATTGCAGGTGGAAGACCTTAGATTCTGCAGCATTGAGAAGGTGTTCTGTTTCATTCTATGACATTGAGAAACATGAAACTGTCGTATCAAAATGGGCACGGGCTAAAACAAGGGCTGCCAAGGTACTTTACTAAGCTTACACCAGTTGCTAGTTTCAAAGTTTGTTTTAGGACTGATGAGATCATCCTTTTGGGTTTTGTAGGTTGGGAAGGGTTTGTCTAAGGACGAGAAGGCTCAAAAACTAGCCCTCCAACATTGGCTTGAAGCAGTAAGCTCATTTAATCCTTGTTGACTTAGACCTATCCCTGTTTATTTCTGCTCCAGGTGATTCGGTATAACATAGTAAAACTCTTTATTTTCATGTCTCGCTATAGCATAGGGAAACGATTGCTAAGATATGGTATCAATTGAACGTGGTTCATGAACCTTTTAGTTTTGATATGCATCAGTTTCTTTTCTTAAATGAGAAAAGGGGGCTAAAATTCGAACGATTGAAGAAGTGCATCATATTATGACAAAGGGAGAAGATGGTGACTTTATATGAAACTTAAATGGTTTGGTAGGATGCATTAGTCATAGACTCCAAATTCACTGGCTGGATTAATCAATGAAACTTCTATGAGTAACCTTTCTTTTTATGTTTCTGCAGATTGATCCACGACACCGTTACGGACACAATTTACACTTCTATTTCGACGTGTGGTCAGCAAGCAAGAGCACTCAACCTTTCTTCTACTGGTACTGCATTTCATTAAACAATAAACAGACTTGACAGTGGCATAACTGAAGTTGCTCCATTATACCCTTATGTTCTGATATCTGGAATTGAAGGTTGGATATTGGCGATGGCAAAGAACTGAATCTCAACAGGTGTCGAAGAACATATCTACAAGGACAATGCATCAAATATCTTGGACCAGTGAGTTTTGTTACTTGTCTTACTTGAAATGCACCAATTATGGGTAAAATGTTTTGTACATTTCTTAACCATGTCTTATTCTTGTTTGCAGAATGAAAGGGAAACATTTGAAGTCACTGTGGAAAGTGGAAAGCTTGTTTACAAGCAATCTGGGACGCTTGTTAACACCATTGAGGGTTCCAAGTGGATTTTTGTGCTTAGCACAACAAGATCCTTGTATGTTGGGAAAAAGAAGAAGGGGGCTTTTCAGCACTCGAGTTTCCTTTCAGGAGGGGCTACAACAGCTGCTGGAAGATTGGTGGTTTATCATGGAGTTCTTGAGGTACATTATACATATAATTCCAATTCTAACACCAATAAAACCAGTTTCTTAAATCCTTATCTTCCTCTCCAGTCTATTTGGCCTTACAGCGGTCATTATCTCCCAACCGAAGACAGTTTCAAAGAATTCATTATTTTTCTTGAAGAACACAAGGTGGATCTGACCAATGTTAAGGTAATACAACCATCTAAAGTTGTCATTAGACTTTCACTAAGCTGCCACAATTTGATTAATCTTGCGTTCTCATGTTGGTGAAGAGATATGCTGTAGATGAGGACCACACCTCAAATAAAGCTGCTGGTGTTGAGTCCGAGCATGGAGTGATCAAAGATCCAGAGGCAACAGCAAAATCAACAGATTCAAAGGATGTGGAGGTTGATGATGAGCCTGCAAATTATGCATGCAACAGAGCTGAAAGTCTAGAAACCAGCATGGACACCAGTGCTGCCAATTTGGGAGCACAAACATTTCACATGGCCAAGCGTTTGTCTTGCAAGTGGACAAGTGGGATTGGTCCTCGAATTGGGTGTGTCCGAGAGTACCCGAAAGAACTGCAATCCCAGGCTCTGGAACAAGTTAACCTATCTCCCAAGGTCACCCCTGGTCGCTTTGCAAACTCTGGTCCGATACCTTCACCACGACCAAGCCCCAAAATTCGAGTCTCGCCCAGGCTTGCTTACATGGGACTCCCTAGCCCAAGGGCGTCTGTTATGGCATCAAATGATAAAGAATATCGCAAATGACTATATTGAAAGTCGGAACACTTTTAAGGTTATAAATATATCTTTTGTTGTATTAAAATCCATAAACTGTGCATGGTAGTAATAATAAAATGTAATTGATTTGTTCTAGGCTTTTATCGTACAGAATTACAGGTTTTTGCATTCATACGACTGAGAATATATAATCCAGTCGGATACAATAATCATGTTCTTTTCGTGATAGTGAGTTGTACACCATGTTTGAAGTTGAGAACTAGGCCATATTCAAGCTCCGAAGGGTTTTCCATGGCAGTAGAATGTCGAAATGTATATTTCCGATATAGATGAATCAATGAGAGTTTGATTTCCTGCAAAGAAAACTTCTGGCCAACACATGCCCGAGGCTCGATTCCGAAAGGTATGAGAGCATAAGGGTGCCTTCGTTTTTCTTCTTCACATTTTGGATCAAAACGTTCCGGTATAAACTTTGGATCTTTGGCTAAGACCCCTATTGCTAACCACACCCAAGTACCCTAAACATCAAGGGCATTAGTCCATGAACAGAAAATGAAATTACATTTGAGTTTCCCACAAGTAATACCTTAGGCAGAAGGTAAACTCCTATCTCCACTTCTTTTGATGTTTCTCTTGCAACTAAGGGAGAAACTACGTAGAATCTCATAGCTTCTTTGATCACCTGAAGTCGAACCAGCAAACAGAAACAAATAAATCAGTATCGAGTATTGTGACAATGTCAAAGCTTGCAGAAAATGCAAGGAAATGAAGGCTCGGGAACTTGCTTGATCAAGATAGGAAATTTATGTTGGAAATCATAAGCAGTTGGCACCTGGTCATGTGGACCAAACCCATCATTCTCTTCCACCAACTTTTTCTCAACCTCGGGATGTCCGGAAACTAAATAGACGATCGATGATAATGTAAAGGATGTTGGTGCTGAACCAGCAAGAAGGTGCTCATAAGTAACTGCACTGATGTAGTCCGGTGTAAAAACATTGGTAGCCACATTTTGTGATTCCCTTGCACTCAATATTAGAGACAAGAAGTCCTTTGAACCTCGGTTCTCGTTTTTCTTTCTGTTTGATACAATCTCATCAAGCCTGCCACTCAGCTTCTTGTTAGTCCTCTCAATTTTCCAGTCCATGGTTCCAGGTATTCGTTTCAAAATCTGCCTGAAAGGCTCCTGCAGTATGGGAGCAAGTAGGCCCAGTATAATCCACAGAGAACCTGACAAGTCCATCTTAAGTTTTGTAGTGGAATAGATATGTTGATTAATGAAGTCAGAGACTTGATCACTCTGATTGATTGATTGTGGTCCGGTGAGGCCAAAGTTAACCCCAAAAGCAGCTTGGCCAATTACATCAGTTGCCAGTTTGAGTGAGAGGTTAGAGAAAACAACTTCTTGTTCAGATGAATGGAGATTTTCAGTAGCGGATTCAATACAATTCTGCATGGATGGAACTAGGTTTGCCAAGTGTGATGGTTGGTACACAGATAAGATAGTGTTTCTCATAGTCGACCATATTAAATCCCTGGATTTTGAGGTATCATCAGATTCTCAACCTTAAATGGCATAAGACCAATGAAGAAAGACACCCTCTTTGGGGTAGCCAGTTTGATGTAATAATATATGAAGGTACCTGGTGAAAAAAAGACCCTTTTGATGAAGTGGGGAGGCAGCAATAGGCGATGTAATGCTTCTATTTGGAATGTCCTTGAATTTCTTGATTCCAACTTATTTACAGAGCTCTGCATCTGCTACAATTATCAAGGGTTGTCTTCCCATGTGAAACCTGCGCTCCACCAAAAACCAGCCCCAAGTTTTGTCATCTAAGAAACAAAGAAGCTTGTTGGGGGTTGCTTATACAACTGATGCATCAAGCCCAATTATTACCAGAAAAGGCTAAAAAACTGACCTGAAAATAGGACCGTATCGTTTAGCAAGAACTGAAAACACACCAGGGCCGTAACTAGTTTTAATAAAATATTATTTAAATTAGTTAAGTCGAAGTGACAAGTTTTAATAAAATATAATTTTTATTTAAATTTGTTACATCAAAGTATAAAGTTTGAATAAAAAATAATTTTTATTCAAATTTATCACCTCGACCTGACGAGTTTCGTAAAAAATATCGTAGATCCCAAAATAAAAGTGTTTATGCCCTATTTTATAAATTTTTTCGGGCTGCCCTTTTGGGCCAAAAAACCCTCTTCATCACCATATTGTCTTGTGTTTTCTAGGGTTCAAACCAGGTCCAAAACATAATTTGATTGGCCCCACCCCAATAATATATTAACCCTTCGACTGGATTACAATCCCATTTTAGTATAATTATATATATAGTTTTTAATCAATTAAGTATCATAAATATTTATTAAAAAATTAACTCTTTTAATCTAATTTTATCTAATATAATATTAAAATTCAAAATTTAGTTAAAAGTTTAACATTTTATTTAAACTGATTTAATAATTTATTTTATTAAATTTAGATACATTAATAATTCAAGTAATTTAAAATAACTTTAAATTTGTTTTTTTAATTATCATCTCGCTATAACTTAATCGATTTAAAAAGAATTATCTCTGTACGAATTAAGTTACTTCAGTGACTAAAAGACTATTGTTATATTTAGAGATTCTGAGTTCAGATATATCATATGTCAAAAGTATTTAAGTATTCATTATTATATTGTTACTAATATTTCGAATAAATATTATTTTATAATCACCTTTAAATCAATAAAAAAAATGTCCATCCTCTTCGTCATCAACATTATTGAACAAACAAGAACCAATAGATCTTAATGGTGAAAAAATTATTGTTATTTCTTGAAGCCTCGAGTTTGAACAAACATAAATGCAAAGGGTGTAAGCGCTTAGTGTCAAATGGTGATTTGTTTCTTTGAACGAATACGACCTTCTACTTACACCATACTAATTCAAAAAACCATATTAATTAAAAAAAGGTAAACTACACATTTTGTACCTAAACTTTAAATTTTTACAAAATCATGCCTAACATTTAGTTTTTATTTTAGTACACCGACGTTAAAACTTAACGAGCAAAACTGACGTGACATTTTTAAATTAATTTTTATATTATTTTTTAATTAATTTATTCACTAATACGGTGGTGACATGTTCACCGCCTTATTAGGAACAAAATAATGTAAAAATCTCCTTAAAGAAGACTCCCAATCATCAAACCTAGGTTACCTTGAGGTAAGAATGGACACCCAACCATCTTAAAAATAAAAAATTAAATTTATGATATTTATTATAATAGAATACAAGTTTTAAATTATTTTAAAAATAAAAAATATTTAAAAATTATATTCTATCATAAGTAGTTTAGAATTGTATGAATTTAGTTATTTAATTTATTTTTAAAAAATAAATAAAATTTAAATTATTTATATTTATTTAATAATTAAAATTTAATAATAAATTTGTAATTTGTAATTATTTATGATCATAAATAAAAACATTATATTTGAAATTATAAGGATAGAATAATAAGTTTAATTTTTTTAATTATTTATTTAAATAAATAAATAACCTTAAGTTAAATATAATCTTTGGCATTGGTATCAAAGTTATGCTTAGCCTAAATGGTTAGACATTTATTTTTCCTCCAAGGAAACTCAAATTCGATTCCTATAGGGTCTCTTGTGGAGATTTTTCTAATATGGTGGCGACATGTGTCACACCTTATCAATTGAATAAAATTAAATAAATAATAATTTAAAAATTAAGAGAATAATTTAAAAAATGTCACATCAGCTCTATTTTTAAGCTTTTAATGATGGGTGATTTTATAAAAATTAAAAGTTTAAATACTAAAACATGTAAAAAGTAAAATTTTAGTTACTAAATGCTTAGTTTACCCAAAAAATAATTGAACAACGTAAAGGTTAAGAGCCGACAGACAGATCGTTACGTCACATTAGTCCCCACCACCAGTACTGTGTGTCAACTTAATTTGGTCAACGACTCATTTTCTTAAAAAAAAAAACTTAAAATAAAATACGCCTGCAATTATTTTTTTAATAAAAGATACCAGCGGCGCCGACAAGTGAAGGAGCCGGATACAAAAGAAACAAGGAGCTCAGCTAAAGTGCACCACCAGTAGAGCTGGGTATACGGGTTACCCAGCTGTTTAGTCCATGGGTTTTGACGGTGCGGTAGTCCGTATTCTTAAACGGTTTTGAATTTTAAGGTCCGAGACTCATCCGTTTAACCCGCGGGTTAAACGGGTTTACCCGTGGCCCGTTAAATAAAAATAATTTTAAATGCTGTAAATACAATAAAAAATAATGTTTTAACTTACTACACATTTAAAAATGATCGAGTAACTTGAAAAGGAAGGTAGCACCGTTAAAATAATAAATAATATTTAAATTTTATTTTAAATAGCCAGAAATGATTATAAAATAAAAAAAATTTAAATTTTTTAAATCATTAATATATATATATATATATAATGATATAATTACTTAAACTCAAATTAAAAAAACAATATTCACTTATATTATCAAATTGAAAAATAAATAAGACAATAACCACATTATACTTTTATAAAACACGGTTATTCAATGCTATAATATGAAGACACTTAAGTGTCTAAAAGCATAAATTCAAACATAAAAATTCAACAAAAGTCAAACATTATACAAATCTAACAATAAAGTTGTCAAGTGGTCATAATAACTGTATTTTATGGATACTTTATAGAAAGACTAAAATATAATATGAAAATATAAAATAAAATACTTAGAATATAAGAGTAAATTTGAAAGATACAATTATACTAAAATTGATAAAATATAAGTCATTAATTTTTTAAAATATATTTATTTTGTAAAAGTCTTTAAAAGTTGAAAAAGTATGTTTTCAATTTTTTCTTTTACTTTTATTTCTTATTTTTAATTCAAATAAATTTAAGAGTTACAATAGTTATAAGTAATATTATATTTATAGGTAATTTATTTTCTTTTTCTATAAAATTATTGAAGTTTATCTTTTCTAAAATTTTATGAATTTTAAATTAAGCGGGCTTTAGCGGGTTTCGCGCGTAGCCCGCGATTATACCCATTAAACCCACGAGTTTAACGGTTCAAGCTAAAAAATTCGCAATTTAAACGATCTTCAATTTTTGAGGTCCGAAACCCGCACGAATCACATGTTAAACGGGTAGTCCGCGGGCCTTAACCCATATACCCACCTCTAACTACTAGGGATATTACCTAATTGGAAGTGGGTTTACCTGGACCCAATGCGGAAGCGATACGAATCCGGGTAACGGGTACGGATATACTGTCAACGTCATCACTTAGATCACCGCCTCATCGAAAGAACGACGCATGTGGTGACTCACGTGTGGATTGTCTTCAATAACAAATCGTGTAAGACTGGTAAACCCCACTTCTTTGAAAAAGTAAATACTACCACTCGCTAGGGTAGCGCGTGTATGACATCCTTCGAATTGTTTAAGACAGAACAGGGCGAGTAGAAATGATTAAAATAAAAAAGAGTGGTGGTTAAGAGGTTTTAATAAAAAGGAGTATTAATAAAAATAATAATAAATAGGAGTATTCGGACTATGATAGATTATGATTATTTTCTCCACGAATATCGGGGAAGAAAAGGTCATTTTTTAACCCAAGTTTGATCGAGGTTACGTGAAAATTGAAACCAAATAGAAAAAATATACCACTACTTTAGATTATTTATCACGTAAACATCAAAAATTAAAAAATAATGAGTTTTTTTAGATTCAAGAAAATTAAATATTTAAAATCGATCAATTTGAATAAATAAATAATATGATTTTATATAAGCTATATTATATAAGGGAGTTGACTATTTAACTATTTATTCTTATCATAATATATAGTAAATTATTCAGTTTGTAACTTAATTATTTAGTCATTTTACTTCTGTCACCAAGCTTTCAATTTTGTCAATCATACCACCACTTAACTATTTAATTTGTTCAATTAGATAATTAGTCGTTAATATTTGACGAAAATACTGATATGGTTGTTAAAAAATTGATATATTTTTACATTTAGTCCTTAATATTTATATATTCTCTCAATTTATTCATAAATTTAATTTAATAAGTTAATTATTCAATCAAGATCTGATATCTGTCGGGAAACATGACATGTGTCAATACCAATAGGATAGAAAATAAAAGGGATTATATTCCTTTGGTTGGAACTGAACCTAGGACCAAATATATGGATAAACAACACCCCAACTACTACACTAAGCATCCCCAATGTTTTGTTACTTACAACAAATTGTAAATATCCTTTTAAAACTTGATAATGATAAAAGAAAATAGAAGTAAAAATAAATTAAATTTTTTTAATATGTTAAATAAAAAATCATAATTTTAATTCTATTAAATTTATGATTTTCAACGATTATATATAAATTTTTACATTCTCAATATATAGTATATTTTATTAAAATATTTTTTTACATTCTCAATATATAAATTTAACATCTTTTAAA